AGGCCTTGCAGGATCGGAAGCATGCTAGGAAAGAGGCGACGGCAGATGCGGAGGAAAGAGTGGCAAACAACAAGAAGGCGCCTCGGCTCGGGACGAATGCGGTGATGGGATGCATACTGAGTGTGCATGCCATCTACACAAGCGACTGTTGAAATCCCAAGGTGATTTCCAATGTTGAAAATCAAATCGAAGAAGACTCAAAGCACCTGCCCCAGCTTGAAATGTTTGAGCTTCAGGTGGCACAACGACCGCGCAGATGCGCCTAAGGATGTTGATTTTTCTTTCTGGCTTGTTTGGACATACTTGGACTACGAAGGAAAGAAGTGCTAAGGTTTTTGGCAGATGTGAAGTCAAAGTGCGAAGTGATGGACAAGGCTCCAATGACGATGCTGTCCTGTTGCGCTTGATGCGTTGCACCACAGACTTGTTTTCAGGGAAATCGGACGAAGTATCATGACTCTTTGCATGCTATTGCAAGTCGTTTGACACTTGGTCGGAGGAATGGGACCAGCGACAGCAGACTCGAAACGAGGACGATCTGTGGGTCCTTTGTTGCTCCACTGCAAAGAATGCCATCGGCAGAGAGTAGCCTGGCTTCAAGGAAGTGAGCGCCATTGCCAAAGCCTTTAGCATCATTAAAGAATCTGCCTACGACCTGGTGCAGGACGGGAGTTAAGAGAGACATAGAGTGTCAGCCAAGCGTACTCTGCTGGGCCAAGGGCTGTGATGGGCTGTGGCAGACACTTCGGAGCATTGCAATCGGACAACTTCTCACAACGAGCTAAGAGCCTAAGGGGACAACCTCATGGGGGACTATGTTGTCGTGAGAGCTGTGTCGCACTGATCGCAACTGGCACCACAGTTTGAATGGAATAAAGGATTCATATTTGGCTGACAAGCGCCGATGGCAAAAAGGTGGTAAACAGGCCACTGGCAGATTGACGGCTGCAGAAGCAATCAAGGCTTGATGGTATACATTGTTCATGAGTCAGCCATGTAGGGGGTAAGCAGAAGGGGCCCCAAACCTTTACTCGCCTCCCAAATAGCCCAAATAAGGCCAAATAAGCCCATATAATCCATAGCCCCAAAAAGCCTGAATACATATGAGAGCGCAACGCGAAGAGGGGCACCCCAAAGACCCCCATCTAAGCCCAAATCAGCCCAGGGAGTTCCAAATAGCCCATTGGAACAGCAAAACACTTTTCGACCCGCCCTGGTGAACTGACAAGCAGAGGAGACAGGAAGGTCCAAGCATTTATGAGTCTTTGCGGATGAGCATGTTGCTGCAGAACCAAAGGCGATACCTGAACAAGTAAGCCTGGCACTGACGATTTCAAGAAAGGTTTTGTGGCCCAAACTCCATCATGACCCTTGCTGGAGCAAGGTTGCATTTCAAAAGCGCAGTCATGAGAGTATCCCCGCCGACACTTCTTTTCTATTCTCGTCTCGCGGGTGAACTTAGCTTCGTCAACCCGGCCTGCCTATGCTGCCGTAGCACTGACTTGTTGTTTGGCGATCACGATTTCCAATAATCGCGCTTGGGCTCACCCTGGTCCGTTGCTCTGCCGGTAATGCTTCTGCAGTGCCGTGCTCTACGTTCCTGAGCAGAGCACTCAGCGCTTCCGCTCGGATTGTATCATTGCTGCCCATATTGACAAAGGTGGCTCAGCTTCAGCTTCTGCATTATGCCTGCGATCGCGCTGGCCCGGTGTTTCAGCGGTGACTGGTGAACACAATGTCGTTTTCTAGCCGAAGGAGGACTCGGGCCGCATGGCATTGTTCATGGCCAGCTACACCAACTTGCCTTTGAGCGTTTTAATTTGGCCTGACTCGCAGAGAGCAGGCCACAGCGGAGCCACCCGCTCGGACGTGGAAGATTGCCTATCAGTCGACATCCGGGCAGACTTGCGTTTCGTTGTTTTGTGTTGTTTCCAGCTGATTAACTGCTCCCGCCAGAAACCCCTGCAGGTTATGAGCGCATGTCCATACTTTGCAATGCACCCATTTGCAACATGTACCTTTGGGGAAGGTAGGCGTTGCTCAAGGGTAATGCGTGGACCCTAGACCCTGCAATCTGCAGAAGGCTCGGAACTTTTTTACAGACAGGAGCGTGCAGATGTGCCTAGACGCAAGACGCCTACCTTCTGGAGTCGCTTCAGCTTGTTGCAGGCTGGGCGAGGCGTTGGCACTGAAATCATTGGAAGCATCGCTTTTGATCGCATCTTGCACAGGAATCTTCCACTTCTGTCACATCCCAGCAGCTGGTGGATGAGCTGCTGGAGGCTGCTCAAAGGGCTTGGCGATTTCTGTCAAGCGCACACATCCAAGTGTCTAAGTTTGTACGTGCATTTTTCACTAGCAAGGCACACTCACTTAGGCCGGAAGAAACTACGACCTGCGGCTGGTCACGCTAGCCATGCGGGCAAAGATCGACTCCTTCACGGATGTTAAAGAATCGATTGGCAACATGATGCAATCCCTCAAGCAGGAGCAAAGTGAT